GACGAATCACCCGTTGGGACCCGTTTCGGTGGACGGCGGCCGTCGGGTGGGCGTCACCCAAAACCAGTGGCGTAATTGGCTGCTCCAGTTGACCACATTCCTCACCCATCAGGTTAGCACTGGTCAGAGCTTGTGGTGACCACTGACCGACTTTTTTTTGTTTGTTTGACTGACAGAACGGCTCAATACTCGACGGTCTGATCCTCTGGAAGAAGAATATCGACAAACGCTTCGAAGGCGTCGACGAGTGTATGATCTGTTTCTCCGTACTTCACGGCCAGACGTGTCAACTGCCGCGCCTTCAGTGCAAATACTGTAAAAAGCGATACCATTCCGCATGTTTGGTATGTATTGTCCAACTCTTTGGATCAAATTGTTTATTTATTTTTCATAATTATATATCACATAAAAATTTAATGTTTTATAAAACAAACAGAATTTTATAAATTAATTAAATTAATTGATTGTTTGATTTTGTATTTGTATTGCAGTACCGGTGGTTCAACACCTCCCACAACAGCACCTGTCCGTTGTGTCGGAACCTGTTTTGAACGACAATATCAATCGGACTTTGTTAACCATAATATGTCTGTTATTATAATTGTATAATGTATTAGTAAATTGTGGGTTTGATTTTGATCGGGGTATTTGTATCGGAGCCTAAAATTGCAATTGTTTTTCCACAAAACTATTTGTGGAGTATTTTGTACTTTAAATATGTTTTTTTTGTCCGTTTTTTTCGGTATAAATATTTTTAAATTAATTGTTTTGTTGTTTTTTATGATTAAATGCATAGTTATATATACAGACAGTACACCTGTTATAGTGAACACCAAATAGTGTGTAAGTGTTGTCCCTATATATAGTGTACGGAATTTGTTATACATTGTTTCGATTCATTAATGAGTGTTTGTTTTTTATACACAGAATTTCATAAAAATTTTAACAAATTATTTTATTTTAAATAATAAACGCAAACATAAAAGAAAAACACATTTAAAAAATTAATTAAAAATTGATTAATGCATCGGAATGTATGGCCGAGTAATACAACAACGAGTTTGGCTTTTATTGCATATTAAACAGTATTTATACGGGGAATGAGGGGGTGTAGGGGCGGCCGGCGGAGGCCCAGTCCGGTGGGTCTCTCCGGTATGTATTGTAAGTATAAGTGTGTGTTTAAGACTGTGTGACCCCTTTGCGGGCGATCAACATATTAAGTATGGGATGTTTTTTGATGTACTCGACCGCTTTTTTATGCGTCACCATGGTGAAATCGTAGCCATTGCACTGTAGTATTTTGTCACCCATACGCAGACCGCAGCTCCAGGCGGGCCCCTCTGGGCTCACGTCTGTCACGTAAATACCCTGTTTGGGAGAAAATACAATACGATTAATTGCATTAATTGCCTTATGACTTATCTAACCCGACCTCCGCCTCCCCAATGGGGTGGCGGAGTGGGTGGGCAGGGGTTGAACCGATGGATACTTACATTATCTGTGAAGGCCTGCGGACTCTGTCTGAAGTCTTGGTCAATACCGCCGCCAATCTTGAAGCCGCACTTCAGTAACTCTCGGCCCGACTCGTCATAACTGATCTCTTTTGTCAGTTTTAACGGTATCTGAAAATAATGGGTATTTTAAAAATATTTATAAATCCGAGTTTTAATTGGCATTTAGCAGACTTGCATTAGCAAGGTTATTTGTTTAGTTTGTAAACTACAACCCCTTATATATATTAATATTTCATCTACATAACATAATTTCAGGTAATCATGTTAGCTAAGTCATATCAACTATATATTTAATAACTACTATTTGTAATAATATTTGTCAAATATTTATTTAATTTAATGTAAAATTTTAATTAAAATAAACTGTGAAGTAAAACAAATTTATAATATTTTATTAACAATGTCATATAAATTATTTAACCATGTTTACTTACGGACAGACATTCAATAGCGGTGCCGGCCTTGTGTTCAAACGTGGACATTGTTGTGCTGGGCGTGTGTATGGGTGGGGGAGGCCCGGGGTGTATATAAGTACCTAGGTTATAAATATATTGCCACCTTGGTAGACTATAGTCAAAATTAATGACAATTTTTTTGTATATTTTATAGACTGTAATGTTTTTGACACATCAAATAACAGCGGGTCACTCACACAATACGTGATGAATATTAAGGGGTGGGGGCTTTAGCTAACAGTGTTTTGTATAGCAATCTAATGGCTGAGAATTTGGGGTTAGTTTTGTGGTGTTTATTGTCAAACGTTACGTATTTATTGAGTGTTGAATTTCATGCGATAATTGTTTTGACAGTTTTTTTGCTATAAATATCTGAACGCGAAATGAATAACGTTTGAAATGACTGGAAAAAAAAGTTTTATAAACTTTTTGCATTTCTATTACCCGTATATCTAATTAAAAATTCATTTTAATTTTAATTTTTTGATTTAATTTAAATAATGTCACATAGGTAAAATAGTAAAAATGTATGTTTTTATATAAATTAAATAAATTTCTGATTTGATCCTGATTTTTAAAAATTTTAATTAAAATTAAATGTGCTCAGTTTTACGCCAATATTATAGCATATTATCTCTTATTTATAGGTGTATAAAAGTGCTAGATTATATAATTACAGTCGTTAAATTCCCATTCATAGATTTATTTATTTAAGAAATAATGTTTAATAAGCCAATTTTACTTTTGATTATTTATGTAATATAATTTAAACAATGTCAGATAAGCAAAATTTATTCATTTTTACATAAATAAATAAATTAAGTTAAATACAGTTAAATGTAATAATTAAACTTACTTTAAACTTAGTTAATGATTTAGCAGCTTACATGTAAGTTGCATTGATTAACTGCTTTATATAAAAATAATCTGGATAAATTGTAAGAAAGTAATTACACCCGATATAATTAAGAAACTTGGCTTTTCTACTCCAACTCCTAAAAGGGAGTTCATTGGCGTGAATACACTTATTCATTGTTTATGACTTGATTAAAATTATTACAATTAATTCATGACAACTAAAATTAAATATTAATACAAATATTTAATTATAAATTATAATTTATAACTATTGTTTCCCATAGTAGGGGTAGGGTAAATCATCATGGTGAATTGACGGTTTTAAAAGCCAATAAAAATACTTGTCATAAATAATATACATGTACTGAATATTTATGACGGTTACCCGGGTGTTATAAGTTATAACGATTAATTAAATGTTTACAACAAATTCATTATTCATTTAGTACTTTAGTGCGATTTGTTGTAATGATAACTTTGCAGTGAATCAAATGTACCACAAGTTATTTAATCACATTTATAGATAAACAGGCAACTAATTGTTTTGCCATATAGTGTACAAATATATTTAATAGGGAATACACATTAAATTTCCTAATATTTATGTAGCAAAACTAATATAACTTATTTCATCTCAATAAAAATTAAAATTAAAAACAATTACAATGCAATTTATACTAATTCAGTATCCTGTATATATAGACCTTGTGTAAACTCTAACTGAAGTTCACTGTACATAATAGTATGATGATAAGAAATAAAAAGTTAAGCAACAAACTTTTTTTATAACATTTACAACAATTTGTAATCAATTTAGTGGAGGAATGAAATAAATTTTTCCCCATTAAATGATTGTTTATAACATTAGGTTTGAATTGAAAATGCAATTAAATGTAAACGTAAATAAAAATCATATGATAGACATTAAATAAAGTGTAATTGTAGTTTATTTTACAAATGAATTACTAAACTTGTATTGAAATCTGGATATCGTTTGTATTATTTGGTTATTTATTTATACAAATATTAAATTGGTTATTTAATATAAAATAAATAAAACTTAGCGCCAAGATCGATTTTCTATATACACAAATATACGCGCAGTCATGAGTTTAATAATTAAACATTAATTTAATAATAATAACACTTATTTTTAAAACAATTTTAGTTAATAATAATTATTTAATTATGCATTTAGTTGTGATTTAATAAATGGCATTTGTTTCGCTTGTATTTAACGCAATCGTATTTGTAATCATAATTTAAGTGCATTTTTACAATAAGATTATTTAACCAAGGTTAAAACAAATGTTTTAAAACACGGAAATACCACACATAAAGGTAAATTCAGTGAACAGTGTACGACCCTGCTAAATTAATAGTATTAATACCATACAGCATAACCGGCCGATTGACTGCAATGGACAGGGAGTCTGTCGGCGACGGGCCGACCGCTGGCCGATGGAAGTGGTCGGTCGCGCGGGCAGTGATCCGATCGCTGAAGATTGAACCGTTCATTTTCCTATACATAATGGCCACCGGATTGGCCGACATTACGGCCACTCAACTGATTCAGGACAAGATCTGTCTCCAAAAGTATAACATGAGCTCCGATTACTGTATTA